CCCCTGTTTGAAACAATAGGAAATAAAGCTAAGCATTGGTCCTATGAAATAAAGCTAGAGCAATGTGCATATGAAACATTGGCAATATTGTGTGAGAAGAGATGTTTACCTTCTGCCTATCAGAGATGATGGTATAATAACCAAACTTCCCACTTTCTCCACCAAGTGCATCTTTAAGCTATGTTAAGAACCAGGTCCAGCTGTCTTTGTCCTCTTTGTTAACAACTCCAAACGCTATAGGGTAGATATTATTGTTCCCATCCCTTCCTATTGCAGCAAGGATCTGTTGACCTGTTGACAGCTTGAAAAAACAACCATCTACACCTGCAAAGCTGGCAACTGTGAGAAGATAGTGTATGTAATGTGAGCACATAAACAATTCACAACTTAGTAAATAAAATGTACCTATGAATGGCCTGCATCCATTCAAAAACCCTTCTTTGCAAGCACTTAGACAGAAAAAGAGGCCATGAAACCTAGGGTTTTTGATTGGGTGCAGTGGTAGATACCTAGTAGTCACAACACATCTAGAGCCTGGGTTTGTATCCAACACAGCCTGCAAATAATCTCTTATTCTAGTGTATTGTCCTCTCTGATCTCCTTGGACAACCTTCAATGCTTGCTTCCTAGCCCTATAGGCCATATGGGTGGAGATCTCTACTCCATATTTCTTCTTCAGTGTCTACATTATTGTGGTGACTGGTGTGCCAATATCAACTCTCATCATTGCCTCACACTGGCGGGCAACCCATTTTGTAGTGACCTTGGTGTTCTCTCCTACTGCTGGGCACGTGTGCACAAAATTTGCCTTCCTAATATCAAAAGTAGTCTCATTTGCAACAACAGAAGCTGCAACAAAGAAAGGGCATTTTGCATTTGTGTGCACAACTATGATGATGTCATTGCAGTTTCTGTGGAACTCATAATTCCTATTATGAGTTATGTGCAATGTCTGAATTGCTCTCTAAACTGATACACATTGAGGAAACAAAGTTTTCTGCAAAACCGCTCCTCTGGGTTCTCTCTCTCCTCACTGTACTAGATCCTTGGCAAAGATCTCACTGATCTGCTCTTGCTTCCATTGGGCAAAACAAATTTTACTTCCTCAGCTCCATCATCATATTCCTGCTTCAAAAGACCAAGATCTTCCTCCTCATCTGATGATGGTGCCCAAACATCCTCAAATCTCTGTTCCAAGCTAGAATGTGACCTCTCTGTTGGCCCTTTTCTAGCTTTCTTCTTCTTTGTAGGCACATCTTGCTGCTCCACCTGCTCATCTTGCTCCACCTGCTCCTCTTGGTGCACCTGCTCCTCTTGCTCCACCTCCACATGCTGCCCTTGCTCATCTTCCTCATACACTTCATCCACATCAGTGTCTCCATCAAAATGAATGAGTGGATCCTCTCTTTGCTTCCTCATTTCATTAAGCCTCCGAAGATAGTCCTCATCTGCATCCAGATCTGAATCATCTTCAGTTAGCAGAATTGGGAGCTTCTGCTTAACCTTATTTACATGCTCAGCTGCAATCTTATGTTTCCTAAATTTGGCAATCTTTGTTCTCCTCTTCAACTCCATTATTGTCTCCAGTTAATCCTGATCTACTACAATGCATTGTTCCATGGCAGCATCTGTATCCAAAGGAACCTGCATATCATGGTTTGTGCTCTGCTGTGTGGTGTAGAACTGTAGTGGCTCTGGTTGACTCTGTATTATACTTTTTGGTGGTGATCTTAAGAGAACACCAGAAGGATCTACTACATACACATGTTTCTCTCCTAATTGGCTCAAAGGAAGCTGCTCCTCATACAGACAGCTTGAGTTCAAACCTGCAGGTCTTGGATCAGTGCCCCTAACCACTGTCAAGTTAACTACATTCTGATCATTGTTATCAATATGGTCAAGCATTTCATCCACCTTATCATCATCACAAATTTCATCCATTCCTGTAATCCCCACACCAGGATCCCTCACAAAATACATGAAATCATTCAGCCCATACCCCTCTGTCTCTATCAGGGCAACCAAATTATAATATGTTATGTCTGAAATGCAAACTGATCTCTCCAAGTTGTCTCTATCATGGAAGTGCATTCTAACTTGCCAAACATCATCATTCAAACTGCACACAAATAATTAAAATATCTTAATTAACAGAGCACTAAAACAGAATATCTAAATTAACAAAGCACTAAAACAGAGCAAAAATGTACTGTAAATAAAAATGCATAAACTACATCACTAACAGTGCCAAAAAACCTAAATCCTAGAATCACAATTAACAGAGCACTAAACTACATCAACCACAACTAAATCCTAACCCTAATCCTAGAATCACAATTAATAGAGCACTAAACTACATCACTAACAGTGCCAAAAAATCAAACCATAACCCTAGAATCACAATTAAGATAGCACTAAATTACATAACTAACAGTGCCAAAAAACCTAACCCTAACCCTAGAATCGATCTACAGGAAGAGGGAAGAGGGAAGATGGAAGAGGGAAGAGGGAACTCACTAGACACCGCCGAATGACGAGGCAATCTGGCGGCTCTCCATCGGATTCTCCTTCACTGCCCTGGCCCAAGATCTTGCCGCCGCATATTCGAGACAGTGCTTGGGGCTCTGGCTGGGGCTGCTAGTATCCGACGGCCAGCTAGGGTTTGAGCTCCCGCATACAATCTCCCACCGGTGGACCATCTTCTCCAATGCCGGCAGACCCGCTGCAGTCGCCGCCTGCGCCGCCAGCCGTCGCCATGACTCAGAGGAGAGAGTGCGGGGGGAGGAAAAGAGAGGGATAGGAGCGCTACGGGCCCGAGCGGCTCGAGTACTAAGCGGCCCGGCTCGAACCGGTGCGCGAGCGGCGTGTAACGCCGTCTAACGGCGTCTCCGTGTGAACAGTGTTGCCACGTCGACAGATGCGGGCCCGTCCTGTCATAAACGCACTTTAAACGGTCCAAACGAGCAACCACTGTTTTTGCAAAAAAATTAAGAAAAAAAATTAATGCTTTTTGGCACAATTCCGTATATGTGTGGATCCTGCAAACCTAGCCTGAAGTATCGATATTTTTTGCAATTCACTCCAGCTAAAAGAGGTGTGTACATGTACTGCAAAGGAGATCTCTCATTTTTAGTATGCCCGAAGGAACGGAGGGATGTGATTCCACGATCTGCATCTGTTTTTTTTTTCGGGTAATGCATCTGTCTATATTGGCTATTTTAGCAACACAAGTTTGGCTTCTCTAAAAACCAACAACAACAACAGATTGCGTTGCCAGCGGCAGCTCCAACAGACCAGCGAACCGACGGCCCCCGATCCCCTCCGACTCTGGTCTTCTTCGTCGACTCGCAGCGGCGGCAGTGGAGGCGCCGATTCCCACTCCCCCGCCCCTCCACTTCCTCGTCGTCACGGCCAGGGCATACATCAGGAGGAGTGGCAGAGCCGCCGTGGGACTTTGTGAATCTCTTTATCGATCGGGAGGCAGCGACAAGAATCCAGCTCCTCCGTCGTTTCGGCGCGGTAGTAGAAGCCCAGTTCTTTTGCCAGAATATAGGGATTCTCCTAAAATCCGGCCCCTACACAGCTTCTTCCAGACAGGATTGTAAAACAAATGAGACTCAAATATTCTGAGAGAAGTTAGGTAGGGATCGAATTCTGGGAGAATCCCAGATTCTGGCAAAAGAACTGGGCCTTAGAACCGATAGCTGTGCTAAATCGAGAGGGGAAGGGACGCCGCCGAGAAGAAGCTGCTGCTTGTGAGAGCCGCATCTGACGCCATGCATGGAGGCCTTGAGCGAGGAGTGCCGCGTACAACGTCTCCTGGCGGCCGGCTCGGCGTGGGATGGTGTATATGCATCGTACTCTCTGGATTCCATAGCGTTACCTTCGTGAACCAAACAAAATCAGTTTTCACCCATTCCATTTGCGACGACGCGCGTTGTATTCTCAAACCGCTGCGGTTACCATTATAATTTTTGCAACCAAACACCTCCAGGATGCATCTGTAGTTGTAGCATTCTTTATGGGGAAAACATGAATTACAGTAGTATTCAAACCACTGTCTCTGTTTCTAACTAAGTTTATTGCTGCATGGTAACGCATGTAGTGCATTATCTAAGTAGTCTATAGCCAAGATTCGTGCAGCTCCGGCAGGAAGGATCGAGCAAGCATATGTGCATCTAGCCAGCGGTGGTTTTCATTGAGCACCACAAAAGACACCTCCTTCAGTTTTTAATTCTTTTGGTAATATATATATTTTCACCCAAGACAAAGACCGGGCCACTTGTCGGCCATTCGTTTGGGGGTTTAAGGCCTCTTTCATATACTAGTGTGTAGTGGTCTGGGGTTCAGGGCCTGCACATGCGTGCGCGTGCAGCAGCGTGGACTTCTCCAATGCACATTTTCTTTGCTCCTTCCACACCGCAGCTCACGGTAGTACCTCCCCTTGCCTTCATTTCCTGTCTCTGCTTCTTTTCCCATTGCAATGCTCTCCGGGTAGCCAGCTCGTCGTGATCCGGATGGGCCGGCGACCGCGGCGGAGGCATGGAGGTATGTACATGTGCTACTAGATCTGTGATGCAATGCAACTCTCTCTGGGTAGCTTCTGGTGATCTGATCCTACATATGTTTGCTCATCTAGGAGTAGGGGTAATTAGATCTGTGGTGACGGATGATGCTCAACATGTTATTTTCCTATAATTTGTCCATCCTGCACATCTGTAGAGGATTTTCCAAGCTAATGGCAAAGATGTAAACTTAGTCACTTCCGTCCATTCAAAGTTACATGGCATGCATGAACATAAATTGGGTTCTCACAAGAAAAAAAGTTGATTTATTTTTTGTTCAAATTGACCTGCTTGGCTGGTCTAGTTAAGCTACATGGGGATTTCATTTTCATGACCTAAATTATATTAATGTTGCAGGTGCATAACTAAGGAACGGATCAGATCTGGAGTAAAGGTTTTTTTTGGGGGTGCTGAAGCAAAGAACAACAGCAAGATATGACAACTGCAATAGTGGTGGGTGTTTCTACCGGCGCCATGAAACCTGTTCTCGATAAGCTGTCCATTCTTATGGGAGGCGAGTTCTCGAAGATGAAAAACGTGCGGAAGGATGTACAGTTTCTCAGTGATGAGCTTACAAGCATGAAAGATCTTCTTGAGAACCTTGCACTTGTGGACGAGCTAGATCCACAAACCAAGAGATGGAGAGACAAAGTAAGGGACATGTCTTATGACATTGAGAACATTATTGATGACTTCAGGCGAAAATTTGTGGAGAAAAATGAAAAGGAAGGGCTTGCCAAGAAGACTGTTCGGTTCCTTAAAACTTTCAGAGCCCGTTACCAGATTGCTGGCCAGATTGAAGGGATCAAGAAATTAGTGCTTGAAACTAGTGACAGACGCAACAGGTATAAGTTCAATACTCCTCCGCCAAACGATGTGGCCATTGACCCACGAGTTGCCATACTCCAACAAGATGCAGATAGCTTTGTCGGTTTGAAAGTGCCAACTGATGAGCTCGTCGACTGGTTAAATGACAAGGAGATGCATTTGAAGGTGGTATCCATTGTGGGATTTGGAGGTCTGGGCAAAACTACACTCGCCAATGAGATATACCGTCAACCCGATGGAGGATTTGAATGTCGTGCATTTGTCCCAGTGACACAAAAGCATAACATCCCAAAACTTATTCATAGTTTACTATCTGAACTTGGGAGTGATGCATGTTCTTATGATTGTGAAGTAAATGTTCTTCTCAACAAACTCAAAGAACATCTACAAAAAAAGAGGTACATATTTTTTTATGGGAAGAGGTACTTATTTTAGTTGGGATACTTTGTTTGTGGTGCCCTTTCTCTGTTGCACGAGCAAACACTCTGGAGAAAATCACTAGATGGTCTCTAAGTAACACAAACAAGAAAAAAAATTGTGAACAAAAATATGCATTTAGGTATTTAGTAAACATGTGTAGTAGATTATTTTAATTCATTTTTTGTTAAGTTTCATATGGATGGACTACATTTCTTAGGCGATAGTGGCAAAGCCATGTTATGATTTTTTTCAAAAAAAATAGTTTAATAAATATTACAAACTAATTAATGTGGTCCATCCATATGAGATATGATTGAATAAAACAAATTTTCTTACAAAATTAGTACACTTGATTTAACACTATTTTTACATCTTGGCAGGTACTTGATTGTAATTGATGATCTATGGGAGAAGTTGCCATGGGATGTTATTAAAGGTGCTTTCCCAGATAATGGCCTTGGCAGTAGAGTAATAACAACCACAAGAATACATGATGTGGCTAAGGCATGTTGCTCCCATCCTCGTGATTATATTTTGGAAATGAAGCCACTTAGCGATGAAGACTCAAGAAGACTGTTCTTTAATAGGATATTTAACTCTGAAGAAGCTTGCCCTTGCCAGCTTCGGGATATTTCTACTGAAATTCTCAAAAAATGTGATGGTATGCCCCTTGCAATTATTACTGTATCAGGCATGCTAGCAAGTGAATGCTTAGACCAACAGGATTGGGAGCATATACGGAATTCACTAGGTTCTAGAACAAATTTCACGTTGAAAGGGATGAGAAAAATCTTAGATCTCAGCTACAAGAACCTTCCTCCTCACCTCAAGACATGCTTGTTGTATCTTGGTATGTATCCCGAGGACTTCAAAATACAGAGGCATCATTTGGAACTTCAATGGATTGCCGAAGGCTTTATTAGTAAAGAGAATGGGCAAGATGTGGAGAAGGTTGCAAGAAGTTATTTCAACGAGCTTGTCAATAGGAGCCTTATTCAACCTATAAGATTTGACAACTGTGGGTTGGTCACGCATTGCAAAGTTCATGATATGATGCGTGATCTTATCTTGTGTAAATGTGCAGAAGAAAATTTTCTCACCATAATAGATGAACCTGAAGCCATCACAAAACCGGATAACAAGGTCCGTCGATTGTCTCTCCACCTGCATGATGATGAAGTTAATGGAACAGAGTTATGGGTTAACATTAGTCTGTCCCAAGTTCGGACTTTTATGATCTTTGGTGACCGTGATGGTATGCCTCCTCTGTCACTGTTCAAATTCCTTCGAGTTCTGCATATCGACCTCACTTGATCGTATGTTTTTGACCTCACTGGACTGTCCAACATGCACCAGCTAAGATATTTAGCGGTTGATGATGAGTGGGGTGCGATGAAGGTTGGGATGAAGGTGGAGCTACCAACACAGATCAGAGGGCTACTACACTTGGAAACACTTGATGTACGTCATAGTATCCATCATCCATTCGATATAGTTCATCTACCATGCCTGATGTTCTTGAATGTGGATTGGCGTCTCGCTCAAACACCTTATGGCATCGGCAACATGAAGTCCCTGCGATATGTAAAACAATTCGATTTGATTCACAACTCACCAGATAACATCGAGAGTCTTGGAGAGCTAGCCAGTTTGAGATTTCTATCAGTACGCGGCTACCTGCCTGATAGGATACGCATGGATGCTCTGTGCTCTTCTTTGGGGAAAATGTGTATCAGCTTGGAGTACCTTGGTTTGTATATCGAAGGCTGCATGGATGCCTTGATGGACTTGTCACCTCCTCCTCGCCGCCTTGAGAGACTCTGGATGGGTGATAGGGTAGAATATTACTTTATCTGGCAACTTGATAGTTGGCCGGCAGAAATGGGTGAGTGCAGCTGCTTTTTCAAGATCCCTGGTTGGAGCGCAGAAGCGGATAAGTGCTGCTTCTTTTCCAGGGTCCCTAATTGGATGGGGGAACTCTGTAACCTCAAAGAATTGGAAATCAATGTCTTCAAGCCTGACGTTGGCATTCTGGCAGAATTGCCTGCCCTCACTTTTCTCAGAATATACATCATCAAAGGATTAACAGAATTCTTTGTCATCCACGCGAGAGAATTCCCTGTTCTAAAACGTTTAGAACTCCGATTGAGCACCACATCGTACCTGGCCTTCCAGGCTGGTGCAATGCCCAAGCTCCAGTGGCTCGGGCTGCAGTTCCGTGTTCGAGGGTGGAACCAGAACGTGCCTGGACCAGCTGGCCTCCACCACTTGTCAGCGCTTGAAGATTTCTTCGCAATAATTCTGACCGAAGGTGCTACGGAGTATGAGAAGACATGTGCCGAGTCTGCCTTGAAGACTTCTATCAAGTTGCGTCCCAACCATCCTCGCCTTCACATCCAAAGTTCGTGCGATGATGATTTTAGGTTGGTGTCTTTCCCGTCTGATGAGTCTGGTGGCGTGGCGGCGCATCTGAACCGGGGTGCCTGATGAGTCTGGTGGCGTGGCGGCGCCTCTGAACCGGGGTGCTGACGGCATCTGATGATGTCTCCTATTCCATCTGCTATCATACCCCATCAATTCAAGTCTGAGCCGTTGGAGAAGAACTCAGCCGTATGCAGTCAGCCTCTGCATTGTATCGTTTCTTATTCCGGTGTGTTTATTTTCCAGTTTTTATTATCAAACTGCCGTTTGTGTAATAAACTGAATGTTTTCTCTTTGTGTAATAAACAAACTGGATGTCATCTTATCTGTTTGAAGTTTTAACCTTGTTCAAAATATACAATCTAGTAGTGCAATTCGCTCATCAGTTCTGCTGTAGGTTTGCTCCCAGAAAAATGCACTCAAATCAGCTTGTTATATAACAAGTGTCATGGCTGCTGCTTCCTTTCCTACGTGCTACTTCACCATTTCTTTTGTCAGCTGGCTCAAAGAAGAGCAGCAACCTCATACCTTCCCCCCCACCGAAACCAAATGTTGCCTGCCCGCTCGCCAATCGGCCGAGATCATAGCCTTCCCTATGAAAGAAACAACAGCTAGCTAGCTAGCTATATCTATCTGTCCCCACTCACCAGATGCAGCACGCATGCATGTAACAGGAATCCCAATCCCAGAAATCATGCTGACAGATAAAATGGAGAAGCGAACCCCGGTCACATGTTTCACAATTTGTACTGAAAGGTCCGAATGGGCCATGCATCCAGCTTGCTGATTTTAATTATTATTATTTTGAAGAAGGCTAACCATAGCCTCTAAACATAACCATATATTACTATCTAGTATTAACCAATATTAAGCAATGATGCCAACCAAATCAAATTACAGAAGAAAATAGCCCGAGTTAAATAAAACTATACATATATTTCTTGCGGACCATCGCCACAAACCTACCACCAAACATGTGACCAGAATCAACCTGTCGAGCAACATGTGACCGAACAAAGACGCGAGACTCCAAAACATCTTCAGAAATCACAACTCACACGCTGATATTGGCTCATCCAATCTAAAGTCAAATATGACGCTAATACCCTAACCCCAAAGTAGAATTTCAAGTTAAAACCTTCAACAAAAAATGGAAACGACGCACATGCATCAACACTGCTATATCTCGCATGAAGGCTAAATCATGGCTTTTCATCTGGAGATAAGAACCTCTGTACCAATCACTCAATCATCCATGTCGTCATCCACCACTCATCCCTCACACATAGCCGGCCAAAGGAGAATTAGTTGGAAGAAAAAAGGACATGACGTCTCTTCCGAGCGCTATCGCATCACCAATTAAACTCATTGATTTTTTCCATTTAAAAAAATATATGTAATTTTAGTCATGCTCATAATCAATACAAATACCCCCTCCGATCCAAAAAAAAGTGTTGTGACTTCAGTTCGGCTTTAGTTCAAATTTAAACTAAAACCACGACACTTTTGTTTGGATAAAAGGGAGTACATTGTTTTGGATCTAACGTCCGAAAAGACAAAAAGTATTCCCTATGTAAAAAAACATATAAGACATTTTAGATCACTAAAGTAGTGACCTTAAACATCTTATATTTGTTTATGGAGGAAATAACTCTTACGAGTAAGAATTACAATAATATCTCTTCTAGATTTTGCTCCATGGTATCAATCGCTGCAAGATGAAATACTCCCAAGACTTTGGTGAAGAGACTGCAATTAGATTGGGGTGATGATAATGTCACTCGTTCACCTACACGAACTTGATTACCAATAAAAGCTTCTCAAAGCCCCTTGAGTCGCCCATCTATAGAGGTGAGAGGTCTTGAGCGACGAACATATACTTGTGCCGGGAAGATCTCCTAATAGTGCAGGCCACCTCTCCACCTCATTGAAAGTGCCGTCACCGCAGTCGTCGATATAGCCGAGCCTTCCACTGTCGGCGCCGCCACGGATATTTCCCAAGTATATAGAATCTTTTTTGTTAAGTTAAAATTTAATTATGTGCATAAAGAAAGTTATTTAGATGTACAATACAAAAAAATATAAAATTGCATCTTATGGTGAATCTAATGAGGTCCTGGTTTATTGGTCTTCTTCGTATTTTATCCCAAAATTTGATCATATATTTAACTGATAAAATGTTAATGCATGTGATAAAGAAATTATATCGTTGGCTTCATATTGTTTTAATGATACTATTTTTGACATGCATTAACATTTTGCTAATTAAATTCATGGTCAAAATTTGTCACAAAATACTAAGGGGGCCAACAAACCAGGACGGGGTAGTATATATATGGCATTCTAGATGTAAATGTATTTCTTCACAAACTTTATCAAATTCTATGAGGTGAAACGGAGAAGTAATAGTAGGCTAAATTTATTAAACTAACCATTAATCGAAACAAGATTGAACTAATCATCGCACGAGATAACGAAGCCATCTCGAAAGCAACCACTATAAAATACTATCGGCGAATCCCCTCAAATCAATTTTTTTTAAGAAAATCATTGGAGAACGGATCCGATTTGTTGGCCACATGAGGTGACGTGCTCCACTCGCACTCTCTCCAACCGTACTCCTCTCCCTCTCCACGCTGCCATGCGGCCCCGCTGTTACGTTGGTCCCACATGTCATTCTCTGGAAGGGAGCATCCTGTGGTACAGGCGGCAGCGTGCACCTATATAGCCGATAGATGTGGCGCCGCAGGGATGGACCGGACTCGCTCACTCCCACCACTCCACCTCATCGAGAATGTCGTCGCCACAACCGCCGGCAGCCGAGCCCGCCACCCCCACCGCCGCGGAGATGTCGCCGCCGGAGGCGCGGCTGGCGATGATGGAGCTGGCGAACATGATCGCCGTCCCGATGGCGCTGACGGCCGTCATCCGGTTGGGCGTGCCGGCCGCGGTGTGGGCGGGCGGCGCCAACGCGCCGCTCTCGGCCGCGGAGCTGCTCCCGCCGGGCCACCCGGACCCGTCCGTCCTCGAGCGGCTCCTCCGCCTGCTGGCATCCCGCGGCGTCTTCTCCGAGCACGCCGCCGACCCCTCCGGCGGCCCGGAGCGCCGGTACGCGCTGACCGCCGTGGGGCGCACCCTGGTGCCCTCCGGCCCCTCCGGCGCCTCGTACGCCGACTACGTGCTGCAGCACCACCAGGACGCGCTGGTGCTGGCGTGGCCGCGCCTCCACGAGGCCGTGCTCGACCCCGCCGGCCCCGAGCCCTTCGCGCGCGCCCACGCCGGCGTCCCCGCCTACGCCTACTACGGGCAGGACCGGGCGGCGAACGAGGTGATGCTCCGCGCCATGACCGGCGTGTCGGAGCCCTTCATGCAGGCGCTGCTGGACGGGTACGAGGGCGGGTTCGAGGGCGTGGCCACGCTGGTCGACGTCGGCGGCAGCTCCGGCGCCTGCCTGGAGATGATCATGCGCCGGGTGCCCACCATCCGGGAGGGCGTCAACTTCGACCTGCCCGACGTCGTCGCCGCCGCGCCCCCCATCGCCGGTGAGACCCTCGATCGATCCCCACCAATTCCCCTCTACCCTGCACACCTCATACAGCTTGCACGGACATAGCACCACAACTGACGGTGACAATGGCACGAGCGATCGGTCGACGGATCGATCACAAGAATGCCTCCCCAGTCCCCACCAACCAGCCGACCGGAGCAGACATGGCACACGTGAGTCACGAGATTGTGTTTGTGGTAGCGTACACCGGCAGATCGTGGATGTACCACCACCACACACGGAGATAATCTAAAGAAACAGATGTTGTTTTCGACGGCGTCGACATCAGTAGCAGACGGGTTTGATAATGAGGTTTCCGAGCGCACTTATTAGGGTAAACTATGCA